GAACCCATCCCATCTCCACCTGATCCCATCCCTATCATCACCTGAACCCATCCCATCTCTACCTGAACCCATTCAAGCTCCATCAGACCCCATCTCATCTCTCCCAAACTCACCTACTCTACTTCACTGCCACCAAGACCCACTCCATCACATCTGCCTCACCTCTCACTGGCCCACCTCATCCCTCCCAACCGATATTAATTGGCTCTATTTCTGCCCTCTGCCCCAACCTTACCACATACCCCAGCCTATCCCGTAATAGTAGAGGTGCTTGCTGTCCTCTGACCCGAAGACCTTTATCACCATGCTGTAGAGATGCAGTCCCTCCACCAGCATCCAGGCAAAGGCACTCAGAAAGAAGTAGTGTAGCAGGACAGCCAGAACCTGGCACGGAACCTGGGAGCCAAGCAAAGACATGGGGTGAGACCAAGGGCTGCACAGTGGCCGTGGTGAATTCTTGCTAACTCTTATTTATTTCCTGGGCACCTCTAACCACATGACCTCATTTTTCATCCTGGGGAGCCAAGGCTCCATTTCTCAGTCCAAAGTTCTTCTACAGCCTGCAACTCTGCCATCCCCCACCCACGCCCACTCCCAGCACCGTGACACAAGGAAAGGACTCCAACAAATCTCCTCCCCTATCTCTCCTGGATGCAGAGGGACATCTGCAGGGTGAGGATCGGCACCTACTCACCGTGCCGGGCTCCACACGAAAGCTGATGAGCAGCAGGACCTGGGCCACCAGGACAGCGAAGGACAGGTTGGCGTGGATGTGGTAACGCTGGTTCCGAATGGTGCTGACAGAACTGAAGACGGAGAGGCCAGTGTGAGTCCAGGAGCTCAGCCTCGACATCCTGTCCCCATTCTGGTCCCTTAGCTACTTCTCTTTGAGGAACCATGACTGTCTTCACAGATCCGACCTGCCTCGCACTGCCACCCCATGCTGTTGTTCCCTGCTTGAACCCTCAGCAGCTCCCTATCACCTTTAGTTAGCGTGCCAGCTCCCTTTAAAGCCCCAACCGCCCTGCCCAGCCTGAGCCCTTCCTGGCATTTCGAGGGCTCTTTTAACTTCCCAGGGCCCTCTTCTGTTTCAAGGGGGGGTGGAGGATACTAATTGGAATTCTGAATTAGAACGTGCAGAAGATGCACCCCCTGACATCACGGACATCATCTGGGGCAGCAGGGAGGCAGGAGCCGCTTGGCTGCAGGAGGGTGGCTGCAGGACCTGCCAGTCCCTTACAGTCATTCCTGGCAGGGCCCTGTCTATAAGCCTGGATGGCAACCAACATGGAGAGTTTCCTGGTCTCCCACGCCAAGATGCTCACCTCTGCACCATCTCCTCGTGCATGGCAGACTGCTCAAGAAAGCTCTTATTTATTCTCTGGCTTTCCTGGTTATTGATAGGCCCCATCCAAAGGCATTTACGCCTGATGTGTCCTCAAAACCAGGTATCATAACTTCCTGATGAGGGGGACGGTCAAGGATGCCTGTGCTAACTCTTGCCTGGCTCAGATCACCCCAGAACTCCTCAAGTGTTGAGGTGGGGCTTTCCAGACCTTTCTGGCATGTCTAAAACCTGATGACCCCACTCTACAGGCCCTGATATTTCTCTCTATCTTCCCTGCACCTCAGACATGAAAGCGAAAGTCACTGGAGAACAGTCACACCTTGTACCCCCACTTGCAGGACTGGGATGCTCCCCCAGGGTCTTTAGATCCAGAGAGAGCTATGGCTAGGGTGACAGGATGCACAGACATTTCCAGTAAATTGCTAGACCTCCCTGGGACACAAGGAGGGGGTGACTCACGACAGCACTGCAAAGGTGACCAGCGTAGCAGCCAGGCAGAGAACTGACAGAGAGCAGCCAACGTAACTGATGGACGACAGCGCCACCTGGTGCCCGTGTGCGAGCTGCGGGAACAGAAGGAGGCGTGGGAGGCTGGTCTTCGCCCCATCCCACGGCTGGGAGGGTGCCCCAGTGGACGTACAGCTGATGCCACAGTGCTGACCCTGCGATGCCGACTCCTAATACCTGCCTCACAGGCAGAGGGTGACACCAAACTGGACTTCAGGGTTGGCGTTTGCCATGCTCCAGGTTGCTACGCCATATCCCCTGGCTTTCCCACGTAAGCGACCTGACCTGTTTCACCACCTCGCTCCCAGCTCAAGTCCGTTCAGCCATGTCTGAATGGGTGACCTAGGGTGCCCAGAGACATATGCCTCTTCCGGCTATGAAATGCAGAAAGTAACAGCTAGAGCTTGTGGGGATGGGGGACAGCCAGGGGGTTCGCAGACACAAAGGACTCAAGCTAGGGAAATCGCACAAACAGGTTGGGTGACAGACTACACCGACCCATAGATCAGTGCCCTCTCTGATCTTCAGTATAAGAGCATCACCAGTCCCCAAACCGACAGTCACTCATGTGCTCGCCTTCACTGGTAGGCTTACACAAGTCCTTGGGACCTTCTCTTAAATGGATACCCAGGTACCTAGACTGACATCTGCTGTGACAGACCGTCCCTCATGGTAAAACAAGACATCTGTAAACAGAGTACGCGTCCCACCGGAGCCCAGCATCCTGTACTTGGCTGTTCCATCCACGCCCCAGTATCTGGTACACCTCCTTGTTCTGTTGAGGCTGGTTCCCTCCTGTCTTCGGCTCTAAGGGATGATGTATCAGCTCTGATGGAGGCCAAATTTCCTTCATGCAGCTCTCTGGCTCTGGACAGGGTCCAGGTGCAGCCAGGCCTTGAGAGAGACCACGGTTCACTGGGCAGCTCTAGCTTGGCGACTATCCCTCGTCTTAATCAGCTCTAGCATTTGCTGACCACAGGTGGGAGCCTTGCTGGGGCTGAGCATAGGCTGTTGGCATTCTGTGTCCACACAGAGCAGGCACAGGTGGGCATGAGCCACGAAGCTGCTGTGGCAGGATGGAGAGTCCCTTACCTCTTGTGGGGTTAATCAGACATGGAGACTAGGCCCTCTCCAACTCAGATCACCTCATAAGAGACTCAACTAAGAAGTCCGGGACTCAGACACTTCCCACCAGAACCCAGGCACATCTCTGCTTCCTATCAGCCACCTGGCTTACCAGGAAAACAAGGCATACCTGCCCTTCACAGTGAACAAAATTCAGGATTTTCATCAAAAGCCAGGAGGCTCCTCAGGGTTGATAAAGTGACTAAGATGCCAATCACAACAGGGAGCTGCCTCCCTGGCTATAGGGTGGGACCTGGAGGCCCTATGGGAGCCAGAGCCACAACAGGACACAGGCACTCTCCCAAGACCCACCTGTAGCCCACAGAGAAAAAAAAAAAAAAAACCTACTGGGCTCTTTCCCCATCATCTGCACTGGCTGTCTGGAACTAAGGTCAGCTTGTGGTGCAAAGCCAGGCAAGGATGGAGGAGGGCACCCCAAGAACCAAAGACCCAGGGCAAGACATGACATAGGTTCTCAGGAATGACTCCTGCATGAACACCAGCCATCAGGAGATAAGGACCCTCTCTTTGGGCTGGCAGGTGCTGACCCCAAAGTTCTGGGGGCAGCTATAACTGCTGGCGAAGGTCTCCCTGTTCCCCAGCTCGTCTCAGAGGCATGGCCAGACACCTGGAAACAGTGGGGTGGGTTTTAACATTGAACCTCCTGGGCTTCGGGTCCAGCAGAGGACTTAGCCCACGGCAGTCAAGGGGGGGCAGTGTGTGAAGGGGTGTGTGGCATCTCTCCCTTGTCTGAAATGGCCACTGAAGTATGCCCCCATGAAGGTCAGAATCCTGGGGTGACACAGCGTGGATCACATGAACTTGGCCAGTTTGTATGCACCCAGTTAGAGAATCCAGGATACGCAGATTCATTTGTAAGAAGGGAGCAATCTTCACCCTTTGTTCAGAGAACAAAGAGGGGCTTGTTGCAGGCTCAGAAAGCATGTCGGTGATGATGGAAACGCCTGCATGCGTGCGTGCAGGGCCCAGGAGGCAGGAGAAGGGTGGGAGATGGGGATGTTGGTTTATTCTCTGTCCTGTGTGTATAATCTCTACAGAATCCATGAAGAATTCCTTCACTTCCTATGCGCCTTCCATCTGGTTTTCCTCTGGGGCCCCCTGTCAATAAGGAGCCAGAGCTGCTCGTGCTGGCCATCCTCAGCTCGTTGCTTTGTTTTCGGACACTCTAAGATGGAGACTACCCCTGCCTCATCTGTCCCGAACCTGCACCTAGCCACCAAGAACAAGATCCCTCAAGTCTAAAGGCAGCCTTGTCCTGATAGGACCCCTAGAGGAGGCAGATAGCCTCCCTCCGCAGAGAGCTCCTGCCCACCTCCTCCCCTACACAACTTCAGGGCAGCTGATGCTTAAAGCAGATTCTAGAATAAAATAGGCAACATCGGTGTCTATTCCAAGTGGGTCTGGCTGGAGGAGCTGATGTTGGGGAATCATAAGGTGGACCCCAGAGTGAGGAGCCATGGTGGGGTTCCCCAGAGGTTACCTGGTAGCCTTTTGAACCCTTTTTTTTTTTCATCTCCTCTGTCCCAGATTCCCTCCTCTCTCTCTCCTTCCCTTTCTGACCTTCCGAGGAGCAGTTTGCACCGTTACCTCTGATGTTACCTCCTAGGCTCACTTCCATGGCTCAGGTGGCCCAGGGGCCTCCCTAGAGCCTGAAGGAAAAGATGCCTGCCTGGCAGGAGCAACCGACAGGGAGGCTGCCACAGGGAGAGAATGAGACAAAAGGAGACAGGAGGGGGACCAGGAATGAACTTGAAGCGGGAGTCAATGGGAGGGGACAGGACAGGGAGACCCTGCTCTGAGGCCTCTTGCCCTTCCACAGGTGACGATGACTTCCAGTATCTTCCTCGGTCACTTTTCCCTTTATTACCAAGGCAAGGTCTCTTGCTGAAATCGGAGCCAGTTGGGTTAGCCTGACTTAGCCAGCTTACGCCAGGGATCCTCCATGCCCATTCAGTCTTTCTATGGGTGGCAAGGGACCCAAACTCTAGTCCCCAATTGTATGGTAAATGCTTTGTTCACGGAGCCACCTCCAACACTGACATTTAAATGTAAGATGTCCATAGCCCCAGAGGGAGTGGCTAGGCCTGCTCCCTCACCCTCCTCTCTCTGCCCCAATCTGACATGAGCCCTTACGACCAGAACATCCCTAAGGCCTTCATACTCAAAGCTCCGGGACAGGGACTCAGGGTAAGGTGCTGAGGCCGGGTTCTCGGGCTAAATGGTGTCCACTCCTTCCCTTGCTGATATGTGCCATGGCCTCCGGGAGCTAGCTCCAACCTGTGCCACAAATGGCAGAGCCAAGGCTTAGCAGGCCCACACAACACCCGGAAGGGAAGAACGCTGTGTGTCCCAGTACCTGGCTCAGTTGCATAGAGAGGGTTGAGCACTACAGGTATTTACTGAAGATTATCTGACATTCATAGGCCAAACGTCCTTCAGGAGCCAGCCTATGCCCAGTTGCCACCTACTCTAACCCTTTGTGGCCCTGGCTATGCCATACTCCTGGGACCACAAAAACAGCTCATGCAGCAATTCCACCAGCCTCCTTGCTCCTCGCTTTTCCACCTATACACAAGCCCCCTTCAGGGCTGTACCTGTTACTATCTTGGATCCAGGCCACAGAGGGTGTAATAGCAGTGAGTAGTAGAAAGGGCTTCCATGACAGCTCCCACACACAACACACCCAACGCCAGCCTTGGAGTGGCATTGCGCCCTTTCTTTCCCACCATGACCAGATTTAGAAAAAAGAAAAACAAAACAAAACAAAAACCCTAGCATTGGCTTCAGGACTGTATCCCTCTGAGTCAGCAACCACAAACCCAATGCCCTTGAAGTGCCTGGAAAGACTGCAGGAGGTCAGCTGAGGTTCCTGCTCATGGAAGATGATGATAAGAGTGATCTGGGCCCAGGAGCCCTTTTCCTGAAGGGGTCAGCTCACCTCCATTCCCTCCAATATTGTTTCTGGTCAAATCCAGCTTGTTATGGCTGGGCCTTCTGCTTTTTAATTAAATTTAATTAGTTAAATTTTTATGTGCATCTGTACACACATGTGCTCTGTATACATGGTTTTTGTATACACGCATGTGGAGGCATGAGAATGATGTCAGAAATCATCCTCCATCCCTCTCCCACCTTATTCATCAAGGCAGGGTTTGTCAATAAAACCCAGAGCCCTCCCCTACGGCTAGTCTAGCTAGCCATCTCACTCTGGATATCCACCTTCCAATGTTTGAATTACAGGTGGGCTACCACCCCCACATCACATTTCTGTGTGCTTCTGGGAAACAAACTCTGGTCCTCATGCTTGCAAGTGCTTAATCACTAACTCATCTTCCTAGCCCTGTTTTATCTTTTTAAAAACAATAGAAATTGAGACTTTCAGATAAGGTGTCTAAGCAAGCCTTTCCACATTTAAAATTCATGGTTATGAACGGTACCTGCTGTGTGGCCAAGACCAGCCTCAAACCACATCCTAGGCTCTCCTGGGACATCATCCTAGAGTCTCCCAGGGAATCATCCTGGGGTCTCTTGGGGCATCATCCTAGAACATCTCACCTGGCCTTGGTCTACCAGTCAAAGTTGCTACACAGGCATGCCTCACTGTCTGTTGAGATTGTACAGACAGTCCCCATTCACTCAACCAGGAAGAGAGAAGCCTCCAAAAGTGAGCCCCAAGGAAGAAACCAGGAGTGGAGAGGGCCAGGAGGGACCTCAAAGAGTAAAAGAGATAGGAACACAAAAGAACAGGAATGCCCAAGGGCAGACTTAAACCACAAACCCAAAGACCATGAGGGCAAATGTAGGGACCCAGGAAGAATCTGGCCAGCTGTCAGGGAGATGAGGTCATTTGTACCACCTTATAAATTCTATAAGTGTGCCCCAGGCTTAGCCTCACTTCAGAGATCTGCCTCAATTTCGTTAATGTTCATGAGACTGTTCCTTTTAAACAGGGATAATTTTAAACCATTTTCAAATCAACCTTTCCCAGCAATGAATAGATGTGATTTTCTCCCACGAAGACACCCACAGGCTGTCTAAATTTGGTGTCACCAATACTGACTGGTGACAGATTTATGATATAAATGAATCTGGATTTCCTTCTTCTGTTTTTTATTTCTTTTTTTTTTTTTTTTTTTTTTTTTACTTTGTAGATTGGACCTCTATTGGGACAAATGCCAGGCATGAGTGGCTGCTCTCTGGAGAGTACATACCTCGTTGTACTGCTCAGCAGACCCTCCCGGGTAGACCAAAGAAAAAACAGAATATCCCTCAGTTCAGTGATCCAGCATGTGGAGGACCCAGAGGAGGAAGCTCTCCCCTGGTGTCATCTGAAATGTCCCCAATGCTGTGAGCATTCCTATCTCCCTCAATGAGACATGGAGTGCACCTTCGCCATCCCTCTGAGTGGCCTTTGTGACACTCAGGTTCCCAGCCAGCACCTTGGATGCTCACTTGCTCAACTGCCCACCAAGAAGTTACCTCCAATGACAACACCATTGGCCAAGGTCCCTTCTCTGCTGGCTCTTGGTGTGTGCTTGTCAAAAGCCATTGGTTCATTTCCTGCAACTCTCGAGCATCTTCTCAGGGCAGCTCACAGCTTCTACTGATCTCACCTGCAGGCCTGTGGTCTGTGTCCTATGTCCCTTTATGCTCCCTTACCTAGCATAGATTTCTATGTGAACCATCTCTTGCCAGACTCCCCAGCTTGCCCTTCAAAGATGTTAACAATGTGTGCAGCCATCCCCCAGATATGAGACAACTTTGTAGACAGTCGAGATCTGTTTAGGGGAGGCGATTGATGGCTGCTATGACCTGAGGACGGTAGCTGTCTATGTAGCACTCACCTGCAGCGGGACCACTTGCATGAGGATGGCAAAGTTGGTGAGATGCGTGCAGTGGCACACTGAATAGTTGAGGTTTCCCTCTGTGAGTGCACAGCCCTGGCTCGACCAGACACCTTCCCCGGAGCTGAGGACACAATCGACAGGCATGAACAGTGGAAAAAATGGCACCCCACAGCCCCACGGGCTCAACAACTCACTGGCTAACCCTAATATCAGGGCACAAGTCGTCCTCGGGTGTTAAAACTGGGGAGTGATCTCCTCTGGGACCCAGAGAGGCTTGGTCCCCTGGGAAAGCACCTGGAGCCCTCCCAGCCTGGGAAGAAATGTGTGTGGTCTGGAGTCCAGCGTGGGAGACCGAATACTCAGGGGATCAGGAGCGACCGGAGAGAAGGAATTATAGTTCTTAAGCACGTGTCTGGGGGACAGACATGTAAAACAGAAGGTGTGCAAATAAATGAGATAAACATAACTAGAATGCAGTGCATACAAATACCATACAACGTGATATGTGTTCATGTGAAACTCTTGCGTAACACGTTAAAAAACCTTTGGGCTGGAAAGATGTCTCCGTGGTTAGCGTTACTTTCTGTGCGACTCTGAAGACCTGCATTAGGCTCCCGGCTCCCTTGTAAGAAGCTGGGTACTGTCCTAAGTGTTCCTGTAACACAGTGCTACGGGCAAGTGGAGGCAAAGGGACTGCTAGGGGCTGGGGGTTGCCGGTGCGGCCCAAAAGAGTGTAAGCCCAAGATTCAAGGACAGACCCTGCAGAAGAGAAAGGCAGAGAAGGACAGGACATACCATGCTCTCTTCTGACCATGGCATGTTCATGGGCATGTTCCCCCCCACACACACACACACAAATTAGCATGCACATGCACTATACACATGCACACACTGTTTTCACTTAAATTTTTATCTGAAAGATTTTATTTTTATCTTATTTTGTGTGCCTGTTGGGGGGGGGTAGGAATATCTGCATATGAATACAGGTGTCTGCAGAGGCCAGAAGAGGGCATCTGGGCTCCTGCAGCTGTGCTTACAGGTGGTTGGTTGGGAGCCACTGTGTGGGGCTGGGAATGGAACTCAGGCCCTCTGCAAAATCAGTACGTGCTCTTTACTTCTGAGCCACCTCTCCAGCCCCCCCCCCCAACCACTGTCATAAATTTATTTTAAAAATCAGCCTCGGCCAATGTGTATCATTACATATAACACACACACACACACACACAACACATGGCATCATAACAGTCTGCAAGAGGCAAAGACTACCCACGTGATTCCCGTGAATGCACACATAATGAATACAAACCACTGAGGAAACTGGCAACCCCCTTCTCGGTGGCCCCCAAAACCTGGGGGAGGTGGTCAGGGGAGGAGGCTGTGTCCAATGGAGTGTTTGCTTTTCTAGTAATGTTCTCATCTCTAATTGCTGCTATAGCCATGATTCCTCACAGTGGCACGCAGGGCCAAAATGCTCTGATGCCAGCTGGTTAATCTTCGCATCGAGTGTGTTGGCCAGTATTGTTTTCTTCCATGCACTTCTCTGTCCTTTCAAATACCATTTTTGTATCTCTGTCAGCAAAGCTTGAGAAATGAGGCCCAGTCTACAGAGCTGAAGGAGCTGTAAAGCTCTAGCTGGTCTCTGGTTTGTGTCCTGCTGTAGTTCCCATTTCTACCCTGTGGGGGACGGGGCTGACTGGAGGGAGGTAACCTAGACCACCACCTTGCACCCCTGACAATATCCATGGACGAGCTACCCAGCTATAACAGTATTATATTCTGTAGCCATTGCAATAGTGTCCCTGCAGTGGGCAAGGGAGGCTGCTGAGAGTGTGGCAAAGGGGCCATGGTGTGGGCACCACACCTAGTAAGTGAAATGCAGGCAACAGTGGGCTTTCTGGGTGGTTTTCCTGATGAATGAGTCACCTCCTGGGAGGTCAGAGGCACCCAGCAGAAAGCAAAGCCTGGACCAATGGAATCATGTGTAGGGGAGCCAGACCCCATCAAGAGCTACAGAATACAAAGACGTTGTATTCTCCGGCACCCAGGATCTAACTTTCCCAGGACCTGGGGAGGGATAGCCACAAAGGTGATTGTGTTTTACAGAGACGTTGTATGCCTACCTAATGCAAGGATGCCATGTTTCCAATTTGAGGTTACCCTGAGAATTAACAGGGTTGGACACAGTCAGGAGGAGTGGACCTGCCCCTCGGCTCCAGCGAAGGGTGTGCAGACAAACCTTGAAGGTCAAGTCCCAAAACAGAACCCTGAAGGTGCGACTCTTCCCTAATTGGCCAGGGGAGCTGAATTCTGAGTGGTGTCACTCTGTATGGAATGGAAATCTGCTCTCAAGGGAGGCGGTGGGGACAAGAAGGCAGCTTCCCAGCTGTGCCCAAATAAATCTGCACAGAAGACAGCTGAGCAGCGTCAGATAGCATCAAAAATATGCACAGCCCGTGACCCAGGACGCTCACGTCCAGGCAGAAATACGGTCACTCGGGTACATAAATACAACATGATGTATATAAATACAGTAAAAGAAAGAGGTATCAATAGAGGCGGAGCCAGAAGAAACTGCTGTGGAATGATGCAGAAAATGTCAGACTAAACACTTTCCTGTGTTTCCTATGAGTGTCAATGTACGTGATACAAAAATTACTTCAAACATGCACGAACTCAAGATAACAGGTAAAAAAGTAAAAAGGTGTTTGCTTTTAAAAAAACAATGTTTTGCCTTTAAAAATAAAAAGAATAGTATTTTGAAGGTGAGACGTGGTGGTGCACACCTGTAATCTTAACACTGGGGGCGGGGGGGGGGGGCTGAGGCAGGAGCTTGGCTGTGAGTTTAAAGCTGGCCTAGGTTGCACAGTGAATTTTAAGCTGGCCTCTAAGTTGAGACCTGCCTCAAACAAACGAAAAAGAGAAATGTGAATATATTGGAGGGTGGGGTGAGGACGCAGTTCGGTGGCAGAGCACGTGCCAAGCATGAAGAGCTCTGGGTCCTGCCCTCAGTCCCACAAAAGGAAATAAATAAACAGCATATGCATGCATACATATTAAGTAAGTACATAACAAGAAAGTAATTTCAGAATTTCCTAGTGTATTAATCTTTTCCAGAAAGTGATCCGTGTCCCTTGGCAAGATGGCTGCTCACTGTAAAAGCCTCCTGTCAGGCCTGAGGATGTGAGGTCAGTCCATCTCAGAGGCACATGGGATGGGATGGGAGAGCGGAATTGAGCTTCAGGTTGACTTTCTGATCACTCCACACACAGTCCACAGCACTTGCAAGTACACCTAATTTACACATGTTTGCATAGAAACCGTTTTTTAATTTAAAGAATAAAAACAAAGTTAGAAAGAGAGGCCCAGAACCCTAAGCCCAGTGAAAGTATCTTTCAAAAATGAAAGAAATGGAGGCAGAGGCAGGCAGATCTCTGTGAATTTGAGGCCAGCCCAGTCTCAGAGAGTCCAAGACAGCTAGGGCTACACGGAGAAACCCTCTCAGAGAGAGACAGAGACAGATAGACAGAAAGAGAGAGAGAGAGAGAGAGAGAGAGAGAGAGAACTTGTGCTCAGATGAACAATAACTGAATTTACTTCCGCAGGCTTACAGTACAAGAAAGGTTAAAGGAACATTACACCAGATGGAAACGTGGCTCTGCATAAAGACATAAAAACAGCTGGAGATGAGATAAGTGTAGCTGTGCGTGGCCCTGGCCTTGTCTGTAACTGCTCTACAAGATAGCTAATTGTCTGGGACAGAAACAAAAGGCCTGTAGACATCTACTGAAGACAGTGACATCCTTACAAGCAACGGGCAGGAGGAACCGGATGTATTAATTACATCTTAGAATGCTTTTAAAGAGATATGGTATCTGTTGCAGGTAGACACTGATGAACTGAACATGCTGTGAGCACAGGGCAACCACTACAGGAAAAAAAAAAAGAAGAATACCAACAGATACACATTAAAAATCAGAAGTGGAAATAATAGAACAGTGAGAAAGAATCTTCAGGATCCAAATGAAGTCAGAAAACAATACTGTGAGAAACAGAAACATACACACACACACACACAGAGACACATGTAGACACACACAGAGACAGGCAGACACACAGACAAACACACACATACACACACAGAGCGAATGAGAAGATGTCAAGGAAGATATGGACTCTTACCCAATTGTGTACAAGGACATGAGTGTACATTGTCTGAACAAGCAAATGAAAGATGGACTTAAAGTAAAATAGGGTGAAAGACAAAGAATGGATGAAGACACAGAACCAAAAGATTCTAATCCAAAGGGTAGAGGAGAACCTGGGGATGTGGCTTACTGCTCTTCCAGAGCACCCCAGTTTTGTTACCAGCACCCACATGGGGAATCTCACAACCTCCTCTAGCTCCTGCTCCAGGAGATCAGTATCTCTGGCTTCTGTGGGCAGCTGCTCTCGTGTACACACACCCACAGATGCACATCCATACACCTAATTAAACATAATTTTAAAAAACTAATTTAAGAGGGGCAGAGGAGTTGCATCTAAATGACAAGGTGTGGACATAAGAATAGCTTCCATCTTCCGGGGTGAAGAAGGATGTAACAAGACACGAGCAGTTACCCCAGGCCACCATCACAGTGGAGCGGCCACACACCTCCCCTCACTTGACAACCCCCTTTTTAGGCCTTGTTCACTCTAGCTCTCAGACAGAACCCAGGGACTCATGCACACCCTGGGGGTTCTCTACTGCCACCCCACGCCCCCATCTCCCTTTTCACTTTTTATTCTGAGACAGGGTCTCCCTGAGCTGCCTGGGCTAGCCTTGAACTCACTCTGTAGCCTTGGCTGGCTTTGATCTTGCTATCTTCCTGTCTTACTGGCTTGTGGCGTGGAGCCCAGCTTCTCCTCACTCTTGGAATTGGTTTCAGGACACACACACACACACACACACACACACACACACACACACACCACAGACACTAAACTCCATAGGATATTTAAAGTGGTACAGAGCTTGCACAGAGCCCCTTCAGACATCATCTCCGGATGACGGGTAATATTGAATTCGAGATGAGTGGCGTGTGGACAGATTGTGGAAGGAATGTCGACAGGGAAGCAGTCTGCGCGTGCTCATTACAGGTGTAATTCCCTCCTACTCAAACATTTCAGGTTCACAGTTGGCTGAATATCTACCATAAAACCCCTGGGCGATGAGGGCTGAGTGTGATTGACACGGCAAGTTGACAGGACAAGTAGCAGGGTTCCAGGAGACCTGTGCATGGCTGCCACTTAATGTGGCCTCGTTGACATTTATAGAACTCCCGCCACACAAGCATTGTTCCCCAAGAGCACTGTATTCTGGGTTGTATAAACAACCTTAAGCACCTTAAAAAAAAAACTGAGGCTGTCGAAAGTACCGTTTTAGATCATAAAATATTTAATTATAAATCAAGAGCAGAAAGGTCTCTAGAAATTTTCCAACTGTTTGGAAATTAAGCAGCTCCCTTCAAAATGACTAAAATGGCTGGTGAGAGATGGCTCATCAGGTAAAGGCACTTGCTGTCAAGCCGGATCCAACCCCAGGACTCACATAGTAGAAAGAGAGAACTGACTCCCCAGAGCCCTTTGACCTCCAGGTGCACGATGGTGGGGGGAGGGAGGTTGCCTTTGAAGATGATGGCGTTAGCCTGGATCTCGGTCAGGTGATTCCACAGCTGTGTTCACTTATCAAAACTAAGAGACTTATGGTATCTAGCTAGATTTTCCTGAATATTTAATAAGTAATCATTTGAATCCAGCTGGATGCTTGTGGTGTGGCTGTCTTCGAGCTGGGACTAAAGAAAATCCCGCTGTGATGCGTACGTACCAACGTAGGTTGATACCATATCGTGGCTACTGTGTTCAGGGCTGGGAGAGCATTCTTTCTGACATACTGACTCCACTTCCTTTGGAAGTGTGCCAGCAGTGAGTCTGGCTTCTTTTCATGAGGAACCTTCATACTGGTTTCCACATGGCTGTGCTAACCCACACTCCCCCTTTTCTCCACAGCCTGGCCAGCATTGCTCACTGTTGTACTTGGTTTCAGCTGTCAGCCTGACACAACCCAGAGGTACCTGGGAAGAGGGGACCTCAGCTGAAGAACTGCCTCCGTCAGATTGGCCTGTGGCCACATTTGTGAGGCATTCTCTTAATTGCTAATTGATGTTGGAGGGCCCATCCCACTGTGGGTGGTACCATCCCCTAGTCAGGTATAAGGTAGCTGAGCAAGCCACGAGGAGTAAGTGGTGCTCCTCCATAGTACCTGCTTCAGTTCCTAATCTTGGCTTCCCTCCATGATAGACTCTAACATGTAAGCCAAATGAAGCCCCGTGTTGCTTTTGGTCAGTGTTTTGTTACAGCAACAGGAATCTAACCTGAATGCTCTTTTTTTTTTTTTTTTTTTTTTTTTTTTTGAGAGTCAAATAGCTCATTTGGTAACAAGGACTGATAAGAAATGTGTGTGTGTGTGTGTGTGTGTGTGTGTGTGTGTGTGTGTGTGTGTGTGTGTTGTACAGATACATACCTGCACGTGAGGAGGCCAGAGGTCAGCCTTAGGTGCCCTTCCTCAGGTATCGTCCACCTTTTATTTTTTAACAGGGTCTCCCTCTGGCCTGGAGCTCCCCAGTTAGGCTAGACTGGCTACCAGCCAGCCCCTGTGCATCCTCCTCTCTCTGATTCCCATAACTAGCTCTACAGTCACATTGCCCCATGTCTAGTTTTTTACATGGATTCTGGGGAATCAAACTCAAATCCTTATGCTAGCATGGCAAATATTTAATGGACCAAGCCATCTCTCCTGCGCCAAAAAGAAACTCATAAATCTTCTTTCTTCTTGTGGCTGACTGAACTGTGGCAGTCAAAAAAAAAGGTCAGTGACACAAGAATTCCCTCTCAGGCTTGCTCTTTTGCAGAAATGAGAAGAGGCCAGAGTTACTCGACTTGCAATTATCCTCTAGACAAGAGTCCCGACCGCTGGGCACCCAGCATCACAGTGGCTGTTACAATCTCCTTCTAGTGTTATTGGAATCTGTGGGAAGATTCCACTAATGTATTCAATGCCTGTACCTCAGCCAGCTGCCAGCCTGCGTTCCAGGGCTGTGAACATGGCGCCCTGAACACTGGTTCATCCTCTGGCTTTTCCAGAATTCTCTTGAACTCTACTAACATCTCTTCATGGCAGTTTACTATCAAGACCAACAAATCCTTCCTCTAATTTATAATTTCTAGAGCCAGCCCTGCTTGTCACCTGGTCCTTTCTGAAGGTCATAGAAAATGAGCCTGGTCCCAGACACTCTCTTGATCCTCCATGTTGCGTTAGGTGTCCATGAGGTGTTTCCCCAGGCTGCGGGTGGCTGTTTTCTTGGATGAAGTGATGGAGGTATGTTTATAAGGAACTCGTGGGTACAGGTTGCCCTCTGATGGCTTTCACCTGGTGAATGGCTTCACTATGGCTTCTGGAACACTGACTTGGGTGTGGGCTCTCAGCAGCCACTCTGTTGCCGATAGTCTGGCTTAAATGTTTTTCACTGTGCTCTTTCTGTCTAGCCTCGTTCCCCTCAGCCTTCGGGAGTTGCTGTAATTCATTCTTGCTCAGTTTGAGCTCATCACCGACTCTGACCTTTGCTTTTTGCACTATGCCCATCAGCCCTGAGAGTCCCACCCATCAATTTCATCGTGTTTATAACTGCTTTTCCCACTTTGATGGAGAGCTGTCTGGCCATGATCTGTTTGCATTTTCCTGAGAATTGGGATATTGATCTGCTTTGCTTTGTTTTCTGGATCCACTGGCCATTTTTACTTCTTCTTTTGGCAAATGACAGACCTAAGCCTGTCAACTGTGACTGAATCGGGCTATTTGGGTCTCTGGTAACTGCACTGTTTGTGTTTCTGGAAACCGTTTCTGGACATTAACCCCAACACTAAACATCAAATAGAGAGATGTTTTTATTGCCTTTATTTATTTGTTTACTTATTTGGCAGTTAGTGTATGTGTGTGTGTGTGTGTGCTGGAATGTACACGTGGAGGTCGTAGGAGTCTGTTCTTTCCTTCCACTCTGTGGGTTTTCTGGGGCTCAAAGTTGGATGATGACACTTGGTGATGGATACCTTTACCCACCGAGCCATCTCGCTGGCCCCAACACAGAGATTTTGATATGCTAGGCAGTGAATGCTGTTTCCCAAAGCCCCAAGTCCTGGCCCTCCCTCAAGACCCTCAGATAGAAGGCAGGGGGCAGTATTCCCATGTGGCCTCATGGTGCCCACGAAGGACTGCGTCTAAGGACTTTGAAAGGCTGTTAAATCCATTCGCACTCCAGGCACACCCAATGAGGTCCTGCCTCATGCATGTTCATGCAAACAAGTGGCTCCCTAAACAGGTGACCCTACCCCTGCCCTGTGTGATGGGAGACTGGGGTGGGGTGGGCACCTTGTTGTCTTCTCACCTCCTCCCTCTCCCCCCTTTCGTCCACCAGGTAGCCCCACACTGACAGTACCTGAAGTTAAGGAAGGCACAATACAGGAAGAAGCGGTTGCTCTCATTGGTGGCATCGGCGTACTGCTTATGAGTCTGAAACAAAAGGAAATGGAATGTATCTGTGACACAGCAGGCAAGGCCAAGCATATGTCCTGGAGTGAGGACAGAGTTTCCCACAGGGGCTAAGATGATGGCTCAATTGGTAAAAGCACTTGCCGTGCAGGACCTGATGTCTTGAGTTCAATCCCTAAACCCAAATAAAAAACCAGATGGGATGGTACACATAAGTAATCCCAGGGCCCCGATGGCAAGATGAGGGAAGAAAAGTGGGCCAGCTAGCCTGGGTATGCTCAATAGCCTTAAAATAAAAGTGAGCCTTCTGCAGCAAGGTAGAAGGCAAGATCTGACTCCTGGAAGCTGCCTCTGACCTTCACACACGTGCCAGGGGCACTCACATGCCTGCATCCATACACACACATTTTAAAGTGTTTTAATTAATTAAGTTTGAAAAGACTTTTTTAACTTCCACACGTATGTATTTCTGTGTATCCAGGCATGTGCATGCAGTGTCCCCAGAGATCAGAAGTGTCCACTGGATTCCCCTGGGGCTAATTAAATGGGTGCTGGAAAGTAAACTTGGGTCTTCTGCTAGAACAGCACACACTCTAAACCGTGGGGCCATTCGTCCAACCCCATTTATATATATACTCCACCCCCCCCCCAGCCCTCTCACCCCCAACACATCCAGGGTGCCTATGACAAAGCGGGAGCAGCAAAGCAACCAGCCTGAGCTAAATTCTAAATCAGTTCCCCCCAGGGTTCCCCAAGGTAGGCGACTGCAGACTTCCAGTTCTCTTATCAGCTCAAGCAGCCTGCACGGGTGAGTGAGGCAGTCACAGAGGGCTTTTGAGTCTGAGTATGAAGAAGAAAGAACTCTGGGGAACAGCATGGGGACCTGGTATTAGAACCACTTGCCTCAGAATGGAATGGAAAGGGTTTTCGTATCATCCATCTGCCCAGGTACCACACGGCTACAAGGCACTAAGGCAAACGGTCTAAAAGAACTCCATGCCTGAACCCACACTTGGCATTAAACTGCTGCTGGGGACTCAGTGATGTAGGAGGAGGCAGAGCCCATGGAGGGAGGGTGGTCATGATGACACTGAGCTAGAGTTAGATGGACAACCCCGGTGACAGGTGAACCAGATGAGAGGGGCTTTTCTACCAGAACAGGAGCCCTGGGTTTGATATCTCCTCTGGGCCCAAATGTCACAGAAGTGTCACCCATGTCCCTTAGAAGTATTTTAGGCAAACCAGCTCCAGCCCCACCAAGCTACAAGAGGCACAGGCTCCGGGGAGGTGGTTGGAAGACTGTCTTCTCCCGGGTGGCTTACTTCTGCCCTTTCCACTCCCAGACACCAGAGTCAAATCATCCTTCAAAGAAAAAGCACAGCTAGCCAGTGTGCAAAAAAGCCGAGTGTGTGTGGTCCATAAGGAAGGGGTAGACGGGCTATCTTGAGTCTGGGGCCAAGGTCACAGGCCTGACCGGGAATTCCCTGCCCAGCTGTTCCTCAGACCCTGTCCCAAGCTCAGATCTTTGGCTGGGAAAATCAAATTGCTAAAAGAAAGAAAGAGAGACAGAGAGAGGGAGGGAGGGAGGGAAGGAAGGAAGGAAGGAAGGAAGGAAGGAAGGAAGGAAGGAAGGAGAAAAGAAAAAGAAAGAAAGAAAGAAAGAAAGAAAGAAAGAAAGAAAGAAAGAAAGAAAGAAAGAAAGAAAGAAAGGAAAAGGAAAAAGAAGCCTTGAAGATTCCAGACAGATTTAACATATGGGAACGTGGCTGTGCCAAAGAAAAGGTGAGTCACCTCACACAGCCCACGTAACACTTGCCAAGGACCGTGGGAGGCCAACAGCTCATCCAACTCCCAGCTTCCTGGGCTGGAGAGAAAAACCATTTCCACAGATCAGCAGGGTGCTGGGCATCCGGAAGGGCCTGACAGGGTCTTTAGCAGAGTACCCCAGTACTATCCCACACAAAACTGATTATTCCTCCCCAGATGCCTGCTGGGTGCTCAGAGTCTGAGGAATAGCTCCCATGATTCTTTGGGTCCCCTCCACCTCTGGAATGAGCTTCCAGATGGGATTAACCAGCCAATTACTTGTCACCCGCTGCTGCTTATAGCGAAGTGCGGGCTTCTGAACATGAAAGGGAAGAAAATATATCTGAGAAGTTCCCCTGACACCCCTTGTTCAGATCTGTGTTTGCTTTGTGTTTTAGGATGCGGCCTTGCTGATAAGGAAATTGGGAGACACTTCTTCATCGCTGTCCCCAAGCAGAAGGCAGATGGCACCACGGTCCTTAATTCTGACCCTCGGCATGGCAGCATCACAGACCAAAATAGCCACATCCCCAGCATAGCGCCAGACACGGGCAGAGCCTGGCTGAAGTCCCAAGCCACCCTTGCTGCTTCTTTCTCTCCCACCAGCTTTTTTCTAGAAACCCACACCCAGCTTTGAATGACAAAGGGTCCCCAAAAGACAGACTCTGGTTTCAGAGAATCTTTGCAGAGTCCTTCATAACCCAGGAAAGCCTGAGCATGGAAGACTGCTGGGCCCTCTGAGTCAGCACCAGGAAGGAACAGTTGGGTGGCTTCCCATCACAGGAGCTGAAGGCAGACCAGTGGGGTGGGCCACCCTGGGGCTGGAAAGAAAGGTCAAGCTAGGCAACACCCTGTCTGTGTCTTGTACTCTACTGTTCCGCTTTCCCAAACCCACCATTGACATGTTTGCTGCCTGACTTTTTGCTCTTTTGTCCTGCTGACCTCAAGTGCACTTACACTCTGGGACATCAACTTTGTCCAGGCTCTGAACTAACCAGAGTACACACACAGCCCCACATACTTTGTGCTGGCCTGTACCTCTCCTTAGCAACAGGTTGCATGTGGCCTCAGGCCACCCTCACCTCTTGGCACAACATCATTACTGCCGTGGGACCACCGCCACAGGAAATGCACCAGGGTTGGAGAGAAACACCGCCAACCTGGGGTCCGGATGTCCTAAAAATGATGTCTGTCTGACACAGAATTCAGGTTTCAATCTGTCCATGGCCACTGTGGGCCTTTAGAGTCTGGAGACGGTCCATGCCTTCAGCCTGAGCTAAATTCTAAATCAGTTCCCCCCCAGGGTTTCCCATGGTAGGCACCTGCAGACTTCCAGTTCTCTTATCAGCTCAAGCAGCCTGCACGGGTGAGTGAGGCAGTCACAGAGGGCTTTTGAGTCTGAGTATGAAGAAGAAAGAACTCTGGGGAATGGCATGGGGACCTGGAATTAGAACCACTTGCCTCAGAATGGAACGGAAAGGGTTTTCATATCATCTGTCTGCCCAGGAACCACACGGCTGGCTACAAGGCACTAAGGCGAAAGGTCTAAAAGAACTCATGCCTGAACCCACACTTGGCATTAAACAGCTGCTGGGGACCCAGGTGATGGAGGTGTAGGGGGAGGCAGAGCCCATGGAGGGTGGTCAGGATGACACTGAGGCAGAAGCTAAGCAGGATAACCCTAGTGACAGCTGGGCCAAGTGAGGGTGCGCCTCTAGTTCTGACCCTCGGCATGGCAGCATCACAGACCAAAACAGCTGCATCCCCAGCATAGAGCAAACACAGGCAGAGCCTGGCTGTGGTCCCAAGCCATCCTTGCTGCTGCTTTCTCTCCCATTGGCTTCTTCTAGAAACTCAGGCCCAGCTCTGAACAACAAAGGGTCTGGAGCCCTGCCCTTGAACTCTCCTCTGGACCCTAACTAGCCTTCCCCCATCCTACACAGACCAGACCTGCAGTCTGGTCTGAAACACAAGGAGGGGGTCCTGCCACTGGTAGAGACATCTGAAGATGCCTCTGGTGATCAGTGGCACCCTTGACAGTGACCTCATCCCATCTTCCTCAGGCCTGCCTCCTTTTCTATCTACCCCTCCCACTTTACAATGGCCTAGCTCCCTTTATATTGACCACACCCCTTCTCACCTGACCTACAAGGGTGGCACCGGAAGAAGACCAGTCTTTGCGGATGCTTCCTTGGCCATGCTACCACATGGCCACCCTGGTGCAGCAGCTCAGGCAGCTGCCCACTGAGCTCCCACAGCCAACTCCTGCTGCTCTCGCCTCTTGTCCCCCCAGCTTCAGCTGTTCTTTTCACAACACAAATCCAGTCCTACCACACACTTAAGACTGTCATGGAACATAGACACCTGAGGGATGAAGGTCACCTTCATTTGCAATGCTGCCCTCTGCTTGAGTGGGGCCTACCCTGTCCACAGCCAAGCGCTTGATCTGTCTCTAACACAGTTACAGAGCTATAGAATAGGAAGGGGACTTAGATATGGATTGGAATGAAGAGGGGGTCCCCCAAGGAAGGGGTCACCTTCTCCTCAGGTGACTCTAACAAACCTGGCGACATCTGTCGGTATTCATTTCCTAGTTCTTGCTCACAGGGTGACAGCGTGGCCCTAAGTCTGTCTATCTAGCACTTGTCACCTCTTCCTATATTTCTGAGGACAGAAAGGCAGTCTTCCCCAATTCACCAAGGAACACTAACACTCACTCGTGTGCTCCTACTATGTCCACACCTCGTCTTGCTGGAGTTTCTGTACACTCTGACCTGCCCCTTCCTCCTCACAAATGCCAGCCTGGGCTCCTAAGGGACAGAGACAAATGTAGGTCGGGCCCATAGGATGGGGCTGGCTGGGCTATTTTCTCTCCCAAAGGCTTTTGTTCAAGGCCTATGTATATTGATGGTTACTGTTCTCAAGATGCCTTGCCAGAATTTCCCAAGACGCACAGCCCTCTTTCTGATGTCACTCTGCTGCAATACATGGTGAAATACAATGGAGCCTGGACCACTCACCTCACCTGCCCTACCCGCCTCTCCATTTTGTCCTCCTCATCTTCCTGCCCCTGGATTCTGCTGTGATGAGCATCATGAAGATGGTCTTGATTAGACCTGAGCCACTGAAACCGTGCTGGATGTTTACCTCATCTCACTCCAACCTCCCTCCTCCTCCTCTCCCCCTTCACCTTCTCTGTGTATGAGCATGTGTGT